TATATATATATATATATATATATATATATATATATAAATACATACATATAAGCTCGATACCATAGAGCCCCCCCCCACACACACACACATAACAGATCTCAATTTAACCCCTGCATAAGACAATAAATAAGATTTATATTCCGCTTTTACTCAAAACTCACTTTAAACCACCATCAAGTTTTTGTAATAACTTCCGATTGCCATGCGTGTTTTGGCCATGTATTGTTGATGAAATTAATTATATTATTACCTCTGAGTCAGAGCAGCGATCATGGAAGAGAGAGCACAGGCAGACAGCGCTAGAAACTGCTAATGCTTATCAATAAATCAGTAGTAAATTAATAGAAATGACGATTCTGTCTGAGCTAGGTGATTCTGTCACATGCACTAGTGTAAATGTAGCTAACAGATGTGTAAACTGAAGACTATTTCAGCTTTATTAAAACTATTTGCACTATTGCAAACTTTTTGTTTGTTACATTTTGTTCCTTTGTGCAGTGGCTTTGAGTCTGTATAAACATCAACAAGCTGAAAAATAAAACCAAAGTTTTTTTTTAGATAATGTAATCTTGTTCAAATAGATTTCATAAAATTGGTATCGAAAAAAGTATCGTTCAGGAACCGGTATCGAAGTCAAGGTATCGGTATCGATATCGAAAATTTTGAAACGATACCCAGCCCTACTTAGGTGTCGTATTCCCATAGGTAGATGGGGATCAGCTGAGAGTCAGCTGATGCGAGCTTGACTAATGTGACCTGCCAGAACTAATGCTACGCTAGATTTCTGCATCCCTGTTTACTGAGCGTTGGTCCGTGTTGTCCTGGGGCAGGGTCACTTTAATGCCCTTGCTGAGGCCTGTCAGCCATTAACTCAGCTATGTGACCATATGTGAACACTTGGCCCTTTGACATGCCAGTGACTGTCGCCTGCTCTCCAAAAGATGTACGGAGCAGTTTCCACTCTCCGCTTCCAGTGTTTAAAGACGCCAAACCATATCTGTGCGAATATGAGGTGCAATGTATAAAAGATTTTACTGTGTACTGTAGAAACGATTTTGTCTCAGAAATTGTTAGTAAATTTCACAACTAATTACAAAGAAATGGCAAATAACACACAATTGAAAATTATATTTTGAAGTAGAAAAACTGAAATAGTACTTTCTTGTGAAAACATTTGTCACTTTAAAAAAATATCAAGATAAAATATAAATAAATAAAAAACCTTCAACTTATTAAAAAAAACGTAAACTTATCTAAGCTAGTTGCCAAGACAGCATTTCTTATTTTCATGTAGTTTACCTTAAATAAGTACTTATTGAAATAAAAATGAATTAAAATAAACTTGTAAAGCATTTATTAATCATAACAATAATATAATGATAATGATGACATTTACTAATACATTTTTTAAAATCAAATGTTGTATGTTAACATTAGTTAATTCACAGTCTACTAACATGAATAATTGTATTTTTATTATCTGACATTAAAAAAGATTAATAAATGCTTTAAAAATACACAGTATTGCTCATAGTTAGTTCATGGTAACTAATGCATTAAAGGGTTAGTTCACCCAAAAACGCCATTTTGGAGAGCATCCACTGAACGCAAACAGCTTATGTTGACATTAGCACACTGAACAACATGGCTAGGGTGACGCGGAGGAGACGAATTGTTGAATAAAGTCGTTTATTTCTTTTGCACACAAAAAGTATTCTCTAAGCTTCGTAATATTACAGTTGAACCCCTGATGTCACATGGATTATTTTATCGATCTCCTTGCTACGTTTCTGGACGTTGATCGTGATAGTACCCTTGCTGTCTATGGAAGGTCAGAGAGCTCTCGGATTCCATCAAAAATATCTTAATTTGTGTTCCGAAGATGAACGAAGGTCTTACGGGTTTGAAACGACATGAGGGTGAGTAATTAATGACAGAATTTTCATGTTTGGGTGAACTATCCCTTTAAGTGACTTATTTTTTCCATAAAATGTAAAAAACAGGTCAAACACTACTGATCACAATGATCCAGTCCTTGAGCGGAAACATTTCATATGGCCACCAGCACATACTGGTTCGAACATGAGTGCACCACCTGTTTCTGGGGTTTGTTACTACAGTACCTGTTGTTTCTGTTGACCCAGGCTGACACTTCAAAGTCCTGCTTCACATTGCTGACATGCTAGCCTGTACTTGCAAGCATTCTTACATGAATGCACTGCAGACAGCTGAGGCCAGTATAAACTTCATAATGGACTGCCGTTGGAATTAGCTTAAGTCTTTCAGAGGAACTGTGAATGCAGTTTGACAAATGCTAGCTGACATAATGACAATGGAAAATGTCTGTCATATGTTGTCCTTTGCTACATGGCACTCTGGAATACCACTCTGAAATCTGGATTTTGTGACTCTTTTGTTGCTGCGTTTATTTGATAAAAAATACAGTAAAATCAGTAATATTGTGAAATATTATTACAATGTATAATAATTGTTTTCTATTTGAATATATTAGTGGTCAAACAATTAATTGCGACTAATCGCATCCAAAATAAAAGTTTTTATTCACATAATATATGTGTGTGTACTGTGTATATTTATTATGTATATATACAGGTCTAATATCAATAAATTAGAATGTCGTGGAAAAGTTAATTTCTTTCAGTAATTCAACTCAAATTGTGAAACTCGTGTATTAAATAAATTCAATGTGCACAGACTGAAGTAGTTTAAGTCTTTGGTTCTTTTAATTGTGATGATTTTGGCTCACATTTAACAAAAACCCACCAATTCACTATCTCAACAAATTAGAATATGGTGACATGCCAATCAGCTAATCAACTCAAAACACCTGCAAAGGTTTCCTGAGCCTTCAAAATGGTCTCTCAGTTTGGTTCACTAGGCTACACAATCATGGGGAAGACTGCTGATCTAACAGTTTGTCCAGAAGACAATCATTGACACCCTTCACAAGGAGGGTAAGCCACAAACATTCATTGCCAAAGAAGCTGGCTGTTCACAGAGTGCTGTATCCAAGCATGTTAACAGAAAGTTGAGCGGAAGGAAAAAGTGTGGAAGAAAAAGATGCACAACCAACCGAGAGAACCGCAGCCTTATGAGGATTGTCAAGCAAAATCGATTCAACTTTTATTTTGGATGTGATTAATCGTTTGACAGGACTAGAATACCTTTGAAAATGTAATTTATTTCTGTAATCCAAATTTCACAAATAGCTTATGGACATAATTATAGGTCAGATATTGAAGTGCTGTTTTTGTCAAATTTTGGTCAGATTTTTTTTTTATGTTCCTAATCTTATTTTATAAGTGACTTTTCTTTCTGTTTTAAAGATGTTTTCTTTGAATTGTTTGAATACTTGAAAAGAGAATATAGGAAAATATAACTCAATAATTTGTGTTTCCTGCTAGCTAAATTTCACATTCATTAACAAAAATCTGACTCTAAATCTCTCTTTTCTTTATTCAAGTACTGTATATGGAAACTAAAGTTCTGTTAATCCTAAAGGTTTTGCTACACTACCATAATTTAACCATGGTATTTGTAGTAAAACTGTGGTTGTACAAAAAAAATTGTATTTGTGTATTCTTTTTCTTTCTTTCTTTCATTTTTATAACTGTACTGTCTTAATGGTTTGATGTTCTGTACATTTTAATAAAAAGAAAGAAATCAGAAAAAAGATTCACGATAAGCACTCTGAAGTCACAATTTGAATCAAAAGATTCACGAACCCGCTCCGAAGTCCCGATCTGAATCAAAAGATTCACGAAACGCACTCCGAAGTCACGATTTGAATCAAAAGTTTCACGAACCCGCTCTGAAGTTCCGATCTGAATCAAAAGATTCACGATACACGCTCCAAAGTCCCGGGGGCGGGCCAAGATGGCGATTGTGTAACATCCATGTGCTGAAGCTCTGCACTTATTTTGTAGTTGACACATGTAGAAGGGAACATAATAATACTTTCTTTAGTGATCTAAGGAAGTCTTTTTTCGTTCTTTCGTCTCTCGAACTTTTTTCTAACTTTTAACGAGTGCGATGGAAGAAGATAGGCCTATTCGAGGTGCCATGCATTCTTACGCGAGAAAATCTCTGGATGCCGCCTTCAAGGGGAATGACGCAGCGAATGCCTCTGGATCGAAAATCCCCTTACCTGAAACTCCTAAACCGCCTTCCAAAAAATCAAAAATGGTCGACAGAGTGGCGTCGGACAATCAGACCGTCTCCAATTTACACCTGATGGAAGTTTTGGAGCGAGTTGAAAAAATGCAGTTGGAATTTCTGAATCGCATGCAGTCCCTCGAGATATGATTTTGATAATTGTACTGCCTTAATGTTTGTATTGTTTAATAAAAAAAATTAAAAAACACTCCAAAGTCCCAATCTGAATCAAAAGATTCACGATACACGCTCTGAATCGAAAGATTCTCGACACGCTCTCTGAAGTCCCGATCTGAATCAAAAGATTCACGATACACGCTCCGAAGTCCCGATCTGAATCAAGTGATTCGCGAACCCGCACTGAAGTCCTGTTCTGAATCAAAAGATTCACGATACACTCTCTGAAGTCACGATTTGAATCAAAAGATTCACGAACCCGCTCCGAAGTCCCAATATGAATCAAAAGATTCACGATACATGCTCCGAAGTCCTGATCTGAATCAAGTGATTTGCTAACCCACACTGAAGTCCCGATCTGAATCAAAATGATTTGCAATCCGTGCTCCGAAGTTCCAATTTGAATCAAAATATTTGTGAATCTGCTCCGAAGTAGTTCCGATCTAAATCATATGATTCGCAATCCACGCTCTGTAGTCCCTATCTGAATAATAATTTGCAAACTATCATTTCAGTTCGGGACTTCCGAAGTTCCAATCTGAGTCAAAACATTCACAAAGCCACTTTGAAGTCCCGATCTGAATCAAGTGATTCGCGTTATGCGATCCGATTGGAGCGCTTCAAAACAGTGAATAATTTTGCGATGCAGTGGTTTGAGTCGGAGTTTCGAAAAGCTCCGTTTCACCCATCACAATACATGCTTTTTAAATTCATTACATGCTGATGTCAAAATTCGAAAAGGAAATGCCCTTTTGGTCTGTTTTTGCTAGTGAATCGCTTGAACTGAATGATTAAAGTGTTTGAATCCATCTGAGCAGTTCCAGCAAAAATGACTCACTCAAATGATCTGGTTTGTCTGTTCCTCCACTTTTCGAGTCTATAGCCATGTTTACACGACACTCAGCACTGGCTTAGCTCGCTAGTTTTATGACTAACTGAATAAGCGAAAAAAGTATGATGTTTACAAATAAAATATCCACATTTCCATTCCAAAGATAATCCAACACGAATCTATGAACTTGTTCGAGGTAACCGGTTTACTGCTAACCAGTGAAAACACTCCATTAATATGACGAGCTGCACCTGAAAATGCACGTTAGATGTAAACATTGTGCATTATGATTGAGTTTGTAGCTTAATTCACTATCATTTTTAATAGTTGACCGCTGAAGTTCAGTTGGTGACAGTTCAATAGGAAATCCTTTGAAAGCATCCAGTCATCTCATACCATTGAAGTGAATCAATTTATCAGTATGTATTGTAAAAAAAAATATTTGAGAAAGTATTGTTGTATCTGATTGTATTAGTCTAGAGCAGCGGTGCCCAAACTCGGTCCTGGAGGGCCGGTGTCCTGAAGAGTTTAGCTCCAACCTCAATTAAACAACCAGTGAAAACACTCCATTAATATGACGAGCTGCACCTGAAAATGCACGTTAGATGTAAACATTGTGCATTATGATTGAGTTTGTAGCTTAATTCACTATCATTTTTAATAGTTGACCGCTGAAGTTCAGTTGGTGACAGTTCAATAGGAAATCCTTTGAAAGCATCCAGTCATCTCATACCATTGAAGTGAATCAATTTATCAGTATGTATTGTAAAAAAATATTTGAGAAAGTATTGTTGTATCTGATTGTATTAGTCTAGAGCAGGGGTACCCAAACTCGGTCCTGGAGGGCCGGCGTCCTGAAGAGTTTAGCTCCAACCTCAATTAAACACACCTGAACCAGCTAATCAAGCTCTTACTAGGCATACTAGAAACTTAAAGGCAGGTGTGTTGAGGCAAGTTGGAGCTAAACTCTGCAGGACACCGGCCCTCCAGGACCGAGTTTGGGCAGCCCTGGTCTAGAGTAATAGTCAACGTAAAAAGAGCAAATGGGAGAAGCAAATTAACACAAAAGAGCATAACAACATAACTGTGCACATATAAACACTTTGGCTACGTTATATGTTCTTACTCATTCCATGTATTAAATGTACATCCTTGAAAACGTGAAGTTTTCTAGCATATTTACTTAAACTTTTTAGGTAATATAAATGGTATGACCTATTTCAGATGCAGCCGAAATTACAACATCAGTGGTTAGATACACATATGTTTAATTGTTTGATCAAAATTATTGCTATGGACAATATAGTAGTCACTGGATATGCCCTTGATATAAACTGCTCTATATATTCTGTCCCACCATGTCGCATCAGTATTGAAACAACAGTATTGAAAGTGCTAATTTCCCAATTTTTGCTTTCGCAAGATGGATCTAGCGCTGGCACAGATCTCACGAAAACGTCTGTGCTGAGATATGCTGAGAACTAAAGACTAAACAGACGAGCACAGAGCCGTTAAGGAAGCCATCTGTTCTCTGTAAGAGGAAATCAAGTCGTCGGATGATAAACAGTTGGAACGTGTCGGGAGGCTTGTTCATCTACACTATCAGAGAATGAGATGGGACAAAAAACCAGCACCTGTCACTCACTCTGATAGAGTCTATCTCACTGGAGAAGTGTCTGGAGCCCTGTGTGGTCTTCCCAATGGACACTCTGCTCTTGTGTGATGCTAACCAGCTTTTTCCACATCTGTGTGCTGTCTGTCGCTTTGCCAACAGCTGGTCCGAACTGGAAGCAGCGGAGGTTTGGTGAAAACACCAAATGACAACTGCCTTTTTCTTGGCAGATTGGAAAAAGCACAACTCTCTATGGCTTGTATAACATGTGTTATGTTGGTTTTAGTTTTGTGTGCTCTGTAGAATTAAAAGCAAGGATGCATAACATATCGGTACAATATACCGATATTGTACCGATATGTTATGCATCCTTGCTTTTAATTAAATTCTACAATCTTTAATTTAATTCTACAGAGCACACAAAACTAATCTGGATATATAATATTGGATATTATATAAAAATGGTTTTAAATGTATTTTTTATGTATTTATACAAAATAGCTTAGCATTTTAATATCAACTATTATTACAATTATGAAACAATTATCTGCTTATCAGTATTGCCCAGAATTTTAATATTGATGCAGTATTAATCCATTAGATATAATATATTGACATTTAGAGAGAAAATTTATCAACAATAATTAGTTTAATTATTGCAAAATAATAATTGTTTTCCTTAATGTTCCCCCTTGTTTTATTGGTAGGTATTTAAATTTCCATTTAATATTTAATATTAATAGTATTAATTAGTATTTATTTATTTTTATTAAAGGGACAGTTGGAAATTAACAGTTGAAAATGAAAATTCTCATAATTTTTGTGTGTTCATACAATCGGGGTTATTATTGCAAAAATAATTGTTTTCAAATAATTGTTTTCAAACAGGTTTCCTAAACATTTACCTTTTTCATATTGGTAGGTATTTTAATTTTAGTTTGTTAATATATAATATTAATATTAATTAGTATCCTTTTTAAATAAAGGATTGTGCAGATGGACAGTTGAAATGTAAATCATCATTCTTATCATGTGTCACTATTTTTTTTATCCATACAATCAGGTTTATAATTGTAAAAAAAAAAATAATAATTAACATTTTTGTTATTGAAATAAAATAAAATATAAATATTAGATGAAAAAATATAAACTTATTCAGTTAGTTGCCAAGGCAAGGCAGCATTTCTAATTTTCATTTAGTTTAAAACACTAAAATTACTAACTTAAAAAATAAAAAAGCACATAAAAATAGCTAAAAATATAATACAATAAAAATGTAAAGCTAATTCAAAATATTAATCAAAACTATAATAGTAGCCTGTATGAATAAATAAATAATGAAAATAATGTTTGTTCAAAATGTCTTGTTTTGTGTTCTACAGAAAAAAAAACTAAGAAAATCATAAGGTTTGGAACAATATGAGGTGAGTAAAGGTGAACTATTCCTTTAATACCTTTAATATAGTTTTGAAAATTCTGTTATCAAGACAAACACTCAGTATCCTGTGGATGGCAGAATGGGAAATGTTTTGGACAGACTTTGTCATCATTAGATTGCATCAGTCACACAGTTGGAACATTCTGTCACCGTTCCCTTGGATGTGTGAGTCGTTTTCATGTGCTCGATTGTCACATGACGGTCATGATGGAGATAAATAAGGGAAACTGCAAACTGTAATCTAAGAAACGGTGAGAAAACCACAGTGCATTTGTCATAATCGTCTATATTGTGACCTGTCTGGAGCGCAGACGTCTAAATGTGAAAGTAGGGCAGATTGTGATGCGGCGGGGGCTGCTTGGAGTGGTCTGCGGTGGGAGTCGTTCATTAGAGAGGCTCGGCTGCTGCAAATATCCACGTCGATGACTGTGGCTGTGTGGTTTCTTAGTTTCAGATGATTCCAGTCTCAGGTGACACAGATCAGGCACTATTAAAGGATTCTTCCGACCACAGTTTGCTTTGGCGGAGGCCTTGACGAGAAGCATGAGGCTGGACATGCGTCTTTTCCACACCGTGGCACGGCTCTGTTCATTTGTGCGCTGCTTCTTTGGATTGTGGTGGAAAACAATCCTTCCTCTTTTGAAATTGAGACATACACATGAGCGAAACAAACCATACGTACCTTGTGCGATGTGTGCCAGTATGATTTCGGTGAAATGTGGTTTTGTTTGTTCTCTACAGAAAGAAATCAACAGAAATTGTGGAGAAGTTCCAAAGACTTAGTTTACTTGTGAAGCTTAAATATTCAGATCATTTGGACAGGATTTGCAACAAAATGCAATTGTGGATGCATGCTGTATCAAAAATAAAGGTTCCAGATGGAGATCCATGGAAGAACCCTTTTTGGTTCCACAAGGAACCTTTCAGTGATAAGTTCTTAAAAGAACATTTTTTTCCCCCTTAAACTTTTAAAAATAAAAAAAATACTTTTAAAGATAAAGGTTGCAAAAGGTGATGCTATAGAAGAACCGTTTTGGATTCTCCAAAGAACATTTCAATAGACGGAACAATTTTTTTCATTATTAGAACATTTTAATAATCTGCAGAATACTTTTCTATTATAAAGAACCTTTTGTGCAAAGAAGTTCCATGGACAGTAAAGGTTTTTAATGGAACCATAGATGCCAATAAAGAACCTTTATTTTTAAAAGTGAACACCATAGAAGAACCACTTTGGGTTCCGCAAAGAACCTTTCAGTGAACGGTTCTTAAAAGAACCATTTTTTCTTAGTGTGAAGAACATCTAAAGAACCTTATTCCACTGTAAAGAACCTTTCGGCCAGTGGAAAGTTTCCATGGATGTTAAAGGTTCTTCATCAAACCAAAGGTGCCGATAAATCAATGCTATCTCGCGAACAATTCGTACAACCTCACTCGTACGATTTTGTACGATTTGTCTAGACCCCAGTGACGAGTAGGTTTAAGGGCGGGGTTAGGTGTAGGTCATTCGTACAAATTCATACGAATTAGCCACCTCATAAAATATGTACGAGTTGCCGTGAGATCGGGCTGAATAAATAAAGGTTCAAAAGGGAATTTTTACAGCAGTGCCATAGAAGAACCATTTTAGGTTCCCCAAAGAACCTTTCAGTGAAAAGTTCTTAAAAAAACCCATTTTTTTTCTTAGTGTGAAGAAATTTTTAACGATCTGAAAAACCTTTTTCCAAAGGTTCCATTGATGTTGAAGGTTCTTCATGGAACCATCAAAACCAATAAAGAGTGTATGTAGAGAAATATGTTTGTTAGAGGTTGGATGTTGTCTGGGAAATGCTGGCGAGCTGTGTTGAAGTCTCCAGGGCATCTTAGCGCAGCAGGTGAAGCCCCCCTCACAGCAGATAAGGAATCTCAGAAACATGCGACGGACTCCAGGCATGCGCGGCAGCTCCACAGCAGGAGATTACTTTACACTCCATCATGACTTTCACAGTAACTCAATCCACTGAACAGCAAAGACAAGCTCCTAAGTGCAGAGATATTAGTGTCTGCCAGTTCTCATCACGCACCGTTATCACAGATTCTGAACAGAAGCTGATTGCTGAAAATTAGCACTTGGTGTAATTGTCGTAGAGGTAGACTGAAAACAGGTTTTGACAATAAATGATACAACTTTTTAAAACGCTTTACACTTTAAAAAGCTGTTTGATTCAAAATATGGTGGTCCATCTTATGTTGGCGGTCATGTTTATCCCTAAACCTCCACTATCCAGATACCTTTGGTTTCCGAATAAATTGTAGGTGACAAATATGACTGTTATTTATTATAATTAAGTATAACAATAAAAATATTATTGTAATGGCAAAAACCTGTTAATTGGTTAAAAGTTTCCTCACTCTAAAAATTGTAATAGATCTAATGGGACACTTCATTGTTTAATGTACAATTTTCAGAAGTGAAATTTTTTATTATAAAGTAAAAAAAATTTTTTTAGTAATTTGATATAGTAGCGTTATTTCAGTTAATAAAATAATATCCTTTAATTTACTGTAAAGTAAAGTCAGTAAAACTTAAGTTTATACCATATTTCTTGTTAAATTTCTGGCAACAACAGCTGCTGGGTTATTACCATAAATTTCACTTTTAATTTTATTATTATAATTTTTTTTTCTACAGTGTAGGGTATTTCTACAGTGTGCAATTTGTATGGGGTCCTCTTTATTTGTTCATATATGTTCAGTAATTGTCCAAATATTTTCTGTTTGAATAATTTAATTCATCTTCCTGATTAAATTTCTCTTGTGAATCAGATTTTCGAAGTAAACATAAGAACTCTTTTGTTTCTATTTTAAAGGAATTGTTTATAGTGAAACACAAAATTCAGTCACTCAAAGCTGTATTTTTTCAGTGGCACATCAATGGTGAAATTTTGAAGAAAATCCTGGCTGCTCATTTCCGTACGTATGAACTTTTAGGATACTTTCATGTCATTTTAGAGGTAAGAAGTCAGAATATTTGTCCAAAATTCACCTTTTATGTTCCACGGTAGAATTAAATTCAGCTTTGGAAATGGTGACAGAATTAAAATTTTCCGTGGGAACCTTTTACACTTTTGTCTGCGATTCGTTTCTTCCCGTCAGATATTTGAACCATTAATTGGGGGCTGGAGATAAGGCCTCTAATCAGAACCACATTAGCTAGTACTTCCTGCTGTCATGTGGCCTCATGGATGGAGTCCTGCCCATCATCCAAGGGTCATCAGGGGCCGCGACCCCTAGCTGTGATCCCTCAGGCCCTGGGTAATGGCTCCACTGCAGGATGGCCAGACGTCACATAGTGTCCCACATCCCCCCGATTCATCCGTGCAACATCAGTGATTTCCTAAAAAAGGTGACTTGTGTGCTAATTAAGACCGATGGAAATCCATTTTCCCTGCAGTACATCTTAAAAACAATGTTTGAATTTGATTGAGGCTGATGCAAATTCTCCTTCATTTTAAGATTTTCCGCATGAAATGCACTGCCATCCACAAGCCGGTAAAAGATAAGGCTCTGTTTGTTAACGAAAGCATGTTGTATTTGTTTTGATTACCTGGTGGGTTCTCGGCGGACTTACTTTAGGCCACAGTTTACTCAGCGCCGAAGAAAGAATTGTGTGTTTCATATGACGAACACTGTCCAGATGTTTAAGATCCTGTCAAAACCACTTGGTGGAAAAGTGACGGGAACGAGCGAATGTTTACTTTGCACTTTCTGGAGGATGCCATTAGAAAAATTTAATTCGAATCAAATTACGATCTGGCACGTATATTCTTTCAGCACGGTTGTATTTAGCATATTAGTAGAGAGCCGCTTTTATACATGACACATTAAATGTACCGTGAAAAGCTTGTGAAATCCAGGACATGTGATGCAATCGTAATACTCGCAAAGTACCTCAGGAACGCACACACATCCTGCTAGCGGCGGTTCCATAATTTTGGGCTGTGCAAACACGTAGAAAGGAAAGAAAAGCACAAGTTGTCTGGGCTCTGAAAATGATGGGCCGAACTGACAGTGCATCATTTTATGCCATGAATATGAGTATTCAGCTGATGTCTCCAAATGAACTGTGAACAAAAAGCTACTGAGAACCAGGAATTAGGCTCTTATAGGTAATGGTAGACACCAGTCTGAATGTTTGTGCTGTTTATTTGTTCACAACATTGGTTGCATGACAGCAACAAGAAATAGGTCATTCTATGAATCAGCTTTCTTGTCTAGTGTGATAGGAGATTTTAAACATTGTTTCAGGTAAATAATATGTCGAGTTGTTAAGTATCTAAGGCTAAATTAAATTAGCTGAATTAGTAAATTTTTGGTTTTATTTATTGAAAGACATTAATAACTTTTTCAGCAAAGAGCAATGCTACAAAAAATAAATAAATACATTTTCACAAAATAATAGGAAGCAACACTAACAATAATTCATTTTTGAGCAGCAAATCAGCATCTTAGACTGATTTCTGAAGGATCATGTGACACTGAAGACTGGAGTAATGATGCTGAAAATTCAGCTTTGATCACAGGAATAAATTACATTTTAAAACCTATTAAAATAGAAGTCAGTTATTTAAAATTGTAATAATATTTTAAAATATTACTGTATTTTTCTATCAAATAAATGCAGCCTTAAAAAACATTAAAAATAATATAAAATTTTTGAATGGAAGTGTACATATAAAGTGGATAAAATATTTAATGCATTTTGTCTATTTTATGTCTATACTTTTTATTATTGATTGATTGGGCACCTGTTTTATAGAATGGCCCAAACGCCAAAACCAGCGGGTAGGCTGTTAATGCGAACTCTCTAGAGGCTAATATTTATGTTGAATCTGCAATGTAGTTTCTGCATTAATATCTCATTGATCTGCCCTCAGATATCATCACTTCATCCTGTGGAGGAAAGAGCTGAGAGGCCCATCCTCAGAACACTTCCCAAGAGCCTTATTTGACTAAGTGGCGGGAACATTAGCATTTTCAGCCGGGCCGCTGGGATATGCTTGGAAGAGCACCGTAGGAGAGGTGCAGAGCGAAGAAAAATAAGCTACGGCACTACCAATAAGTTGCCCTTGAATAGAACCAGATGTGTGCGCAAAGATCTTTCGAAAATATTATCTTTGGGGGTCGAACTTCTCAGAACCCTGTTCTTCTCCCAACCCCCGCAATCCGACACTTGCTCGCCGTACGCTTTTGCGTGCTTTTCGTTTCGATACTTCTGTTTTTACAATAGCATTTTTCAGAGGTCAAAAATGTGAATAAGGCCCACGGTGCTCATTGTTTCTGCATCGCTCCACGGCGCCTGCTTTTAAAACACACAGTGAGACTTTGTGTGGTGGCTCAAGGCCCTGACAGGCTGAAGTCAGCTCACACCACAGCGTGTCGGGGAAACTGCACGGTTGTTCTCCTACATAGAGGCACCTCTATGGAAAGCCAAAAGAGCAACAAAAAAAAAACTCAAACCTCAGGGCTTTCAAACTAGCCGGAGTCTCTTATGCAACCTTTTTTTTTGAAACACACATGCAAATCTGTCAGCTAACTCGTTAAGATAATAACTCGAACATGTGGGCTTTTTTTTGCTCCATCCATCCCGCCGTAACAAAACAAAAAGAGCGATAAGTCGGCGGATAGAAGTACAGGGGTGAAATATGGACGCTCGGTTGCGCCGCCAACAACAAAAACAACAAAAGGTTTGTGTTGGGATCTGCTTCCCTATAAATGTGTCACAATGTTGGAGCCCCTCCTGGGTGTGCCGTATGTTGAATCTGCAATGTAGTTTCTGCATTAATATCTCATTGATCTGCCCTCAGATATCATCACTTCATCCTGTGGAGGAAAGAGCTGAGAGGCCCATCCTCAGAACACTTCCCAAGAGCCTTATTTGACTAAGTGGCGGGAACATTAGCATTTTCAGCCGGGCCGCTGGGATATGCTTGGAAGAGCACCGTAGGAGAGGTGCAGAGCGAAGAAAAATAAGCTACGGCACTACCAATAAGTTGCCCTTGAATAGAACCAGATGTGTGCGCAAAGATCTTTCGAAAATATTATCTTTGGGGGTCGAACTTCTCAGAACCCTGTTCTTCTCCCAACCCCCGCAATCCGACACTTGCTCGCCGTACGCTTTTGCGTGCTTTTCGTTTCGATACTTCTGTTTTTACAATAGCATTTTTCAGAGGTCAAAAATGTGAATAAGGCCCACGGTGCTCATTGTTTCTGCATCGCTCCACGGCGCCTGCTTTTAAAACACACAGTGAGACTTTGTGTGGTGGCTCAAGGCCCTGACAGGCTGAAGTCAGCTCACGCCACGGCGTGTCGGGGAAACGGCACGGTTGTTCTCCTACACAGAGGCACCTCTATGGAAAGCCAAAAGACCAAAAAAAACCCCACAAACCTCAGGGCTTTTTTGAATAAAACTAGCCGGAGTCCCTTATGCAACCTTTTTTTTCTGTGGCGACTAGAGCAGAAACACGCATGCAAATCTGTCAGCTAACTCGTTAGGATAATAACTCGAACATGTGGGGTTTTTTTCACTCTCCATCCTGCCGTAACAAAACAAAAAGCCTTTGAGCGATAAGTCGGCGGATAGAAGTACAGGGGTGAAATATGGACGCTCGGTTGCGCCGCCAACAACAAAAACAACAAAAGGTTTGTGTTGGGATCTGCTTCCCTATAAATGTGTCACAATGTTGGAGCCCCTCCTGGGTGTGCCGGACATGGTGTTCCCACAAGATCTCTCTGGCTCGGGTGCTCTGTCATTAGGCCTTGCCACCGGTGCCACACGCCACTCCTAGTGCTGAGCAGAGGGAGCGCAAGGCCAACGAGACGCAGGTTTTGTTGCCAGAACGCTCGAGCCTCCCCCATAACCGCTTCAGACGTGTCTTACTGGAACTTCTGCTGTGGAGACAGATAATTGAGTTTCTTTATATTCCATGCAAGTTTGTTTAAATTGTCTGTCTGTATACACAGGCTGTGACCGGTCCAAATCCAATCCATCCAGCGTTGGGCGACTGCATGGTGTTTGGTGTTTTCGGATCAGTGTCAACGTATCAATCAAATCGGAATTTCTTTTACCTGTCACTTCCCAAAAGCCCTGCAACAGGGTCATAGGTTTTCACCCATCCATGTTAAGATGGCCACTGCGTGGGAAAATGTTTGTTATCTTTGGTTTCAGCTGGAGGTTCGGTGTCTCTCTGGGACTGGTCGACATGCATACCAGGACAGACCAGCAGGGCCCTCCCATTACCACATGGTGACCGGGGATATGTTCCATAGGAGTCATGTGACCGCTAGTGTCCTCTTTCCCAGTGTATCCCATTGCAAAAAATGCATGCGAGTGCAAACTTTACATTCATGGTAATTATGACAGTATGTTCAAAGCACTGCTACTCATAGAAATAATGCATGCTATTTTTAATCAGTCTACAGTACTGAATGAGTCATGTTTGGATGAATCTCTGGAAACCTGTCATAAACCAGTCAAATTTCATCCCAAAATCAAAAGAGAATAAAATAAAACAAAAATTTTATTTTATTTTGCATTATATTTTTATAAATGTAAAATCTTTTAATAACAGTATTTTTTTTCATTGTGACATTTTTAAAATATTTTTGTCCCTCGATTTTCATTTACAATTAGCAAAAAGCAGCTTTTATAATGCAAAAAAAAAACACGCATTACTGTAATGCAAAAATTATTATTTAAAATTATACTAATACAATTATATTTTAAATTCTATTTATACATCATGGTAGCATTAGTTGTACTCCCTTTAATTTTGAATAATTTATAGTAAATAATTTATATATTTATAATAATTTGTAAATTATACAAATTAAAATGTACTGTTACAGTAATGAGAATTTAATTGATCATCACTGAGAATAATGGAAATTAGAAATCAAATATTAAAAGTAAAATGTCAAGACACATTTCGATAATGAGAATTAGTTCGGAAAATGTCACGATTGCGCAAAAAAAAAAAAAAAAGATATTCCTAAAACAGACCTCATTTTCTTTGTCAAATATTAATAATTTTTACCTTCTTTTAAATTTGTGGATAAAATTTTATCTGGGCATGTTTCTGTGAGACAGGGTTATTAAATAAAATAAACATTAACTGAAATAAAATATAAAAAATATATATATTTTTATATAAATAATTCATGTATAATAAATAAATAATTGATATTTAAATAATTGATTTCAGCTAGTTGCCAACATTTCTCATTTTCAAGTACTAAAATAACTAAAAATAAAATAAAATAAAAATTAAAAAAAATTTAAAAAAAGAAACTAATTCAAAAACAAACTATAACACTGAGTATGTCAACGATACTCAAATAACTGTGAGATGCTGTGAGATTTACCTGTTTGGCTACAGAGATGTCGCTTCCCCAAGAACAGTATGCTCTTGCCCTGTCGAATACAAATTGAATTTCATCTCAATTAAATCAAACTGCATGAAAAGCTGCAATATCTTTCTGTAAGGGGCAATAATCCTGGGCACTTGTGCCAAGGCCAACAGAGGCCTGCATGTCAGTGATACTTTCATCTAAATATACACGAGACTGACGGCAGCAGGTGAGTGGGGCCCTGCCAGACGCTCGCGCTGAACCATCACACATACGGTGCAGGTCGTACGCAAGTGTCTATGTGCTGATGTGTGTGAGTGTGTATGTCCTTGTTGGGTGCGGTTGGTGCTAGGATGCCATCTCCCCTTAAATACAAATTGAATTTCATCTAAATTAAATCAATCTGCATGAAAAGCTGCAATATCTTTCTGTAAGGGGCAATAATCCTGGGCACTTGTGCCAAGGCCAAAGGAGGCCTGCATGTCAGTGATACTTTCATCTAAATATACATGAGACTGACGGCAGCAGGTGAGAGGGGCCCTGCCAGACGCTGGCGCTGAACCATCACGCATACGGTGCAGGTCGTACCCAAGTGTCTATGTGCTCGTGTGTGTCCTTGTTGGGTGCGGTTGGGGCTAGGATGCCATCTCCCATTCACTGTGGATCGAGATCTGAACTAAACGCAACCCAATTTTGGGTTTCTCTTCAAAGCCAGCTGGTCTGGCTTGATTTTCTTTAGCCTTTTTTGACATATTAACAATCTTTTTTTCTTTTTTTACAAAGACTGGCCCACAGCAGGTGCTGGAGGGTTGAGCTTCCTGGAGAAGAACGTTATCGGACTGGTAAGTGACCAAAAAGCCTCCAAATTGAACGATTGCTTGACGTTGGCGAAAAAATTACGTGTCTGTGGTCGAACACAAGTCAATAAAGTGTGTGTGCTAGGATGACACAGTGTTTCAACACGTCTCGTTTGGGGAATGCGGACCTGAGAATAGAAATAGAAAGATACAAATTTAGAGAGGTGGGCTTTTTTTCGGGACATGGTTTGCCTTCGTAAATAGATATGTTTGTCTAGGAGATGAATGCGGGAGAGGATCGCCGTTGACTAATATTGTGTCAAGCTTGTTTACGGCTCCTTTTATGACAAAAAAAGCTTTGACGTGAATGTCGCGTTCTTTGTCCTATCGTTTGAGGACTTTATCAAGCCACAATATGTTTAACCCACATGTTGTGAAGGATTTTCTTTTTCCCAGAAATGCTTGTTAATATTATCCAATTGAACTAGAACTAACTGACTTTTTAAAAAATGTGATCATTTTTGTGGTTTTTGTTACCTTGTTACACTTGTGCTGTTCCCTGTTAAAAATGACTGGCCTACCAAAAAATGCTTCATTATGCTAATCTCTCATTATGCTACCAAATATTGGTTTCAGTCTTTTTGTCAATTTGTGTTCTTTCAGTTAGCACAGGTTTTGTATTTCTTTTCTTCTTCTTTTTTAACTGATTGGTTGTCTGTGCTTATGCATCTAATTTTTTTTAGTGAACATTGCCAAACCTTTCCACAAATAATGTTCCAAATAAAATGCAAAACCTGTGATAATTGTTAGAAAACAAGCATTCTATATTATTCCCATATTTTGGATTCTTGTATCTTTTTTTTGGCTGCGTTTACACTAGGCATTAACATGATCGATTAACATCGATCTGCGAATGCAGACACGATGGCTGGATTGCGTTTACATTACACTTAGGTCCGATCACAATGCGTCCTCGACTACCTCCGGACAAGGACACGATGATCGGATAACATTCCGATCAGAATCGCGTTTACACTTGTCTTTTCAATGTGTATGTGGACAACATCCGGATACAGCTCGCATGTTAATACCAAGTGTAAACGCAGTCTTTGTCAACTTGTTTTCTTAGAAGTTCACAAGCAATTTTAAAAGGTCAGTGATTTTTGACCAGGAACACCAAATTAGGTCAAGGACTTTCAAGCTCAGCACAAAGGTTAAATGTAATTTCCAGTTCCTGTGTTTGGTACCAGTGTACATACTATTGCAATAAAAGATAAATATGTGTTACAAAATTGGTGTAAAAACCATTTTCACACAGAAATTGCTAGTAAATGTTATAATTACAAAGAAATGGCAAGAAACATTATATTATGCATACAATTTTTAAGTGGAAAAACTGAAATAGTATTTTCCTGTAACGTGCAAACAAAAATGTTTTTTAAAGAGTACTTTATATGTAAAAGGGAATTCCAGTTTGTGTACAAGTGTACATAATATTGAAACAAAAAGATGTGTTAAAATTAGGATTAAATAAGTGTGCAGACTGTGCACATATCCCCAAGTGAATGTTCTTTACTGGTGCTAGATCACCTTGTTTCTTTCTCTATAAAGGCCACAGCTGTAGGGTACCCATCAAGAGCGTTTGACACAATGAAAGGCACATCAAGGGCATTTGAGGTGCCCACAGAATGCAAACAAAAATGTTTTTTAAAGAGTACTTTATATGTAAAAGGGAATTCCAGTTTGTGTACAAGTGTACATAATATTGAAACAAAAAGATGTTAAAATTAGGATTAAATAAGTGTGCAGACTGTGCACATATCCCCAAGTGAATGTTCTTTACTGGTGCTAGATCACCTTGTTTCTTTCTCTATAAAGGCCACAGCTGTAGGGTACCCATCAAGAGCGTTTGACACAATGAAAGGCACATCAAGGGCATTTGAGGTGCCCACAGAACCACCGATTCCTGCCCACAACCACTGCAGCCTTCTCCTCTTACAGCTTCGGTTTCAAAACAAGACGCCGTGATAATGCTATCCTTATGCACTTATGAGTGTTTGCGCCAGTGTTTATACAGTTTAGACTCTCTAGCTTTCCCGATGGTTGATGCTCTAAAAAAGCTGAATGTGTTTGAGGAGGAAGCGCAAACTGACCCACTTTGGATGTTGAGCGTCAATGCAGCAAGATTTGCATGTTCAGCTGCACCGAGCTCAGTTTATACCGCATGACCTTGTATTTTGACTCTGTGTATTCAGCCTGGTTATTTTAATAGAATATATTGTATTACTGTGTGTGCATATGTAATGTATTATTTATATGTGTGTGTGTGTGTATTTATGTATGTAAAATATATAAATATGTAAAAACATGGCTTTTCACATTTCTTTTCACATTCATTTTATATATTGTATACAATTTTAAATTTAAAAGTATTTATATATATACTGATTAATGTTATGTTATGAACACCAAAAATGTTCTCTTATAGTTCATATATAGATTATTTTATGTCGTTTAAAATACTTTTTTCTTGTTTTGTTTATATATATATATTTATATATACACTTTTTTTTTTTTTATAAAAAAGGTGGACTCTCAATTTGCTATTTAATTATTAATTTTTCTTTTTGTTTGATGCTGTATTTGTGCTTTTGTACATAGGTTTTATGCAACATCATAAATATAATGTAACATTTTGGGCATAATGTAGTGTAATACGAGATATATATTTTTAAAAGGCATACCTGTAAGCATAGATATCAGGTTATGTAACATACTCAGGGTTGACGTGCCTTTAGGGCAGGTTTAGAGACATAAATGCCTGAGAACCCGTCAGGTGAGCAACATAATGCAGCACGATTTGAAGTGAGTTTTGCACGCTAGGACTCCCCCAGTGAAACCAGAGTGTGAACTACAACAATAGAAAGCATGTTTTCTGTATTCAGGCTTATGTGTTGTGGTTTACAGGTGTCTAGCCGTGAGCCGTGACCTCACTGACACATGCAAACAACTATAGCCTAATGTGTGAATGGGTTAGACACGAATAGTCTGAGATTCCTACTAACAAGTCCTCTGGTATTGCAGTAAATAATTTTCCAGCACAGTTACAACAAAATAGGCTAGATTGAGAAAATGACTGGTAGCTTATTTGACAGGAAACTTGGTTTTAAATAAATAATTGTAGTAAAAATAAAAATGTGGTCAATATTTACTCACCCTCATGTTGTTCCGAACCTGTATGAGTTCTTCCTTCATTCTGCTATTCAATTAACACAGAAATATTCACTTTGTCCAAAAGGAGTTAAAGTTAAAATATTTGTCTTTTCAATGCAAACCTGTTGTTTGCTTTAAAATAGAACCTGATGTGTGCTTCAAGACAGGCTGTTTATTTTATCTTTTGACTGGGGACTAGCTGTCTGTCTTTCTGTAGGGCCTAATGCAGTTTTTTTATGGCAGCAGGTAAAATGTGTGCTGCATTTCTGCTGAGTTACTCATTTTCATCTTGATATGAATTTTATCAAGCATTCATGGAAATGTGTGGACCTTAGGCTACATGCACACTGTAAAGTTTCAGGAGTGACACCGCATTTAATACGGGAGCGAATCCCCTAAATTACAGTTTCTTGTGTGTATGGAACAGAACTCACTCTCAAAATTGCCATGACTGACATCATGGTAACAACAGCAACCTTTTGCCGACTCAGGCTTTTGGTAGCCGCTATTTTTGGCCAAAGTAACGCGTTACGTATAGGCGATTTTAACTAAATCCCCGTCGACATCTTATTTATATTTGGAAGGTTGCAGAGCGCACTCGTGTAGTGTTGCCATGTCCACATATTATAAGCGACGCACACATGTCTTTGAGCTTGATGTTTGGGCTCGGCTCATTGAGCGATCAAATGTATATAGTCAATAAACTAGGCAGGTGCAGGTCGCGATATTGTGGCGTGTTACTTATTTCCAAGTTATTTCGTTTGGAATGAAGTTGATTATGTGCTTGTTCTTTTTTGCTGGTTTTTAGAGCAAGATACGGTGGCAGAGAAGTGCAAAACAATTCTGAACACAAAATAACAAATTACAAATGCAAATGCAAGTCTAAAAAACAAAATAACAATTCAGAAAACACAACAACAATTCAGAAAACATTATAACAAGTCAGAAAACACAATGACAAATTCAAAAACAAAATAAGTCAGAAAGCACAACGACAAATCCGAAAACAAATTAACAAGTCAGAAAACACAACGACAAATCAGACAGACCGGAAGAGGTAGGTATAGTTTGAGACAGCGCCATTGGTTTGGGATTACTCACCGCTGACTGGACGAGACATCTGTCAATCAACGTATACAGGGAAGAACCAGCCGAAGAACAGCAGAGTCGTGGTAGAAAGGTCGACGAAGGTGTTAAAGTAGCTCAGTTTTAATGTATTGTATGAATTGCCCTTACTATGGAATAACAAATACGGAGTGTCTATTTAGACTTAGTTAAAAGTAGCTGTAAAACATCAGCTCCAGTGGTGCAGATGGACAAGCATGTGTTGTCAGCTTTTTGACGCGATCGACTCGGGTTCGATCCCGCCTTTTGCCGAACTTTTTTTTCCTCCCTTTTCAAATCTCGTATTAGCAATGGATTCTATTTACACTACGTGAAAATAGCAGTATTTTTAGCAATATGCTATTTGCACTAAGTGCAAATACCTAGTTACACTAGGTTAAAATAGCAGGATTTCTACTATCAAGTATACTACTTGTTGCAAATAGTGGCAATTATCTGCACTTCAGTATTGTAGTACATTATAAAACAGTATGCAATAATAAAGTATTGAGTGTAAATTATAATTTTAATTTTAATTATTAAATGGATGCCACCTTATTGGTACAATAAAGCCCTCCTTACACCTACCCTAACCCTACCCCATACTTTATTTTCAACTTTTTGATTATTTCCTTAATTTTTATTGAAAACAAATGTCTTTACGATGTGATAAGAGATTTGAAAAGGGAGAAAAAAAAAGTTCGGCAAAAGGCGCGATCGAACCCGGG